GCTGAGACAAGAGAATTGCTTAAGCCCAGAAGTTGGAGGTTGCTGTGAGCTGTGACACTACAGCACTCTACCAAGGGCAATAAAGTGAGACTCTGTCTCTAAAAAATAAAAAAAAACCACTTGACTGTAACCACACGGCAAATGACATGGGTCCATGGGTATATACTCTGTACAGATATGTAAAAACCACTTCAGAGAAAAATAGGGGTGTCAACAATTCTAATTTATGGTTTAGTACCCGTCCATTTATTCAATAACTGTTCAACAACTACTATGATATTCATACTATGGCAGGTACTGGGGTATCCAATGTGAATAAAACACATTTCTTTCTTTCTTTTTTTTTTTTAATTGAAACAGAGTCTCACTTTGTCACCCTTGGTAGAGTGCCGTTGCATCTTAGCTCACAGCAACCTCAAACGCTTGGGCTCAAGCAATGCTCTTGTCTCAACCTCCCTAGTAGTTGGGACTACAAGCACCTGTCACAATGCCCAGTTATTTTTTTGTTTTGTGTTGTTTTGTTTAGCAGGCCCAGGCTGGGTTCGAACCCACCAGCCCCAGAGCATGTGGACAGTGCCCTAATCACTGAGCTACAGTGCCCAGCTATACAACACATTTCTTGCCTTCAAAGATCCAGCAGAGACAGAAATGTGGGCAATTACAACCTGAGATCACCACTGAGATCAACCAGAATTTATTCCCTAGGGATAAACTGTGCATCTGGGAGTCCCCACTCATTTAGCAATGTCCAGGAAATCACTCTTAACCTGTCTTTATCCGTTACATAGGACCTGTTTTGTTTTTTCCTTCTTTCATTTTCTGGGTTTAAGTCTTAGCCACCCAATAACCTCCTTAGAGGTTTGTGAATCTATCAAGGTACCTCAGTTCAAACTGGTTTTATACTTAGGTACAGACAACACCGACAGCCAGACGGCCACTGAGCAAGCTGATTTGTAGCTTGGGACGGACCCTCGGGCAACTCATCTGCAGGTGTTAGTTGTGGAGAGGGAGCCCAAGCCCATGGCAATCCCTAAACATCGTTATCCAGTACTTCCCTCACCGGTATGTTACAGTCTCAATAAATAGGGTGGTGCCTGTGACTCAGTGGGTAGGGCGCCGGCCCCGTATACCAAGGGTGATGGGTTTGAACCTGGCCCTGGCCAGCTTAAACAGCAGTGGCAACTGCAACAAAAATAGCCGGGCATTGTGGTGGGTGCCTGTCGTCCCAGCAACTTGGAGCCTGAGGCAAGAGAATCGCCCTAACCCAAGAGCTGGAGGTTGCTGTGAGCTGTTGATGCCACAGCGCTCTACTGAGGGCAACAAAGTGAGACTCTGTCTCAAAAAACAAAACAAAAAAACAGTCTCAATAAATAGCTACTGCAGAGGTTGCTTGGGGTTACCATGCACTTAGGGTTAGCCTGCTTCTTGCAAGTTTGTACTTCTATCCATGTCATGCCTATTTCCTTCATGTGATGATGGGGACAGGGCGATAGGGGGCGTGACACTTAGATTTTCCTTAAAAGTCTACAATGAAATCTAGAATATGTAAAAAAAAAAATTTTTTTTTT